TACACAAAGACACACACGCAGTCCCCACAAATACCAATGGCAATTCAAATCCATGCACACAACCTCACATGCAATACCACAAGCAGCCTCACACATACACACACTACCAAACATACTATACACACCATTCACACACACAATTCCAGAAGTAGCCCTTATACAAGGCCCACATTCACAAGTAGTATACACAATACCACAAACTACTCATGAACATATACTATATAAGAGTTCACATACGTAAAAACTGCATGTGAGTATGCTTAATGTATAATTAAACATTTTACTTTGAAAGGACCAATATTATATATCAGAAAAAGCTATGTATATATATATATATATATATATATATATATAACTTAACCATCTGGGGTGGCAAGACATTGCCTTACATATTACATACGGCAATATATGTGCAATGTATATCACAAATGCAAGAAATGGCACAGTAGGTGACTATAATAGCTCAAACACCCGTGTGGTATCCCCTATACCAACACAAATAAATACATACAATACAAACACAATGGATGGAGCAATATTAATTCTTTCCTCTTCTCCAATATATTGCTGTGGAGATAGAGAGATATACAACAATAGTGTAAATCAATTACAATATATATTAAAGTGCAGTAGGTGCAAGGAAACACTCACAAAATTAGAGCCATAGGACCTGGCTCTGGTGTGGATAGCTTCTGGATCTATTATAGGGTGATCCTTAACCCTTCTGTCGCTGGTATGGTTTCCAATGTATAGAAGAGGATCCAAAAGATGGAGTGATAAAAAAACTACTTTATTATAAAAAATATATACATAAAATAATGAAGGATAAAATATATGTAGTAAATAGCAAGCCAATACGCGTTTCGCCAATTGTGGCTTCCTCAGTCAGCTTCCAGTAATAAGTCCAGTTATTGTCTTTATATAAGTCCTTATTTGATAATGTTTCGCGGCAAAAAACTGCTGTGGAACGCATGTATGCGTTCCATATCTTCATTTGCATCCATTTCCTCCCTTCCGGTCGCGCCGATACTGTGACGTCACTTCCGGGTTAGACGTCACTTCCGAATTCTTCCTCTGAGTGGAACGCACTAAGCGTTCCACTCCTTCTGATACCTCCGGTTTCTATAAGGACCTCTATGGGACGCAAAATTACATTTTAATTTCCCTCCTTCTGTTCATATGATTGGGCACTTCAATGGAACGCAAATATGCGTTTCAAACTCTTCCTCTTTTCCCTCTACACCATAGGATCTCTTAAGTAAGGGCATAGTCAATTATATAAAAACATAAAAACATAATAAATTCATCTTTTGAACATATTGTTAGAATACAGCCATGTAGAGAAGTGCCTAATTCTTAAAGTGACCATGCTTATTTCATGAACAAAGTGCATATTAAAAAAAAAAACAGTGTATTTTTAAAAAACAGTGAGTTTTAGAAAAAAAGTGAATTTTAGAAAGACAATAAATATCTCTTAAAGTGACCATGCAGTTATTGTCATAGTGAATATGCAGGTGATTAATTTTATCGAATAATTACTTTTGGTTTAAAGATTCTTTTTTTTTACAAATCACAGGTACGGCGATGGGTACTAAGTTCGCTCCAAGCTATGCAAATTTGTTCATGGCATATTGGGAAGAAATAATAGTCACCCACAATGCACAATTTGCGAACTTAGTATCCTATCGCCGTTATATTGACGATATTTTTTTTATATGGAAAGATAGTGAAATACAACTCATCAAGTTTTTGGAGGATTTAAATCAAAATGAGTGGGGAATTTTTTTAACGTCTACGTACAGTAAAAATCAAATTAATTTTTTAGACTTAGATATTTTTTTAGCAGAATCTCAACTACATACAAAAAATCATTTTAAAGAAGTAGACGCAAACAGTTATATTGACAAAAATAGTTGTCACCATACCCCTTGGTTAGATAATGCCCCTAAGAGCCAGTTTTTAAGAATACGACGTAATTGCACCCAAGACAAAGACTACACAACACAGGCCGAAATAATCAGAGAACAATTTGTAGAAAAAGGATACAATCCAATAGAGTTAACAACCTGTATGGAAGAGGTCAAATTAATAAAGAGAAAGGATCTGATTAGATATAAAGGGAACACAAAAAAGAAAAGAGACCTGAAAAAAACTGGTCAATTAAAAATTCCCTTTATATGTAATCACAGTGGAAACAATACAAAGATAAGAAGAATTATCTATAAATATTGGTCCATATTACAAGAAGATCCTATTTTAAAACAAATTCTACCTTCCAAACCTATGGTAGTATATAGAGGATGCAAAAATCTTAAGCAAATAGTAGTAAAAAGTAGTTTTACTACTAAACATAATGAGCATTTTCTAAATAAAAACAAAGGTTTTTATGGATGCGGTTCTTGCCTGGCTTGCAGAGAAACTAACCAAAAGAAAAGACACATTACCTCCTTTAAGTATCAAAAAGATAAAACATTTACGATAAGGAATCAGCTAACATGCTTCTCCAAAAATGTTATCTATATTTTAAAATGTCCCTGCGATCTTATATATGTAGGAAGAACTATTAGAAATGTACACATAAGAATTGAAGAACATATTAGAAATATAAAAAAAGGACTGGAGACACATAGTGTTTCCAACCATTTTAATTTATACCATAATAAAGATCCAAAAAATATGTCCTTTTGTGCAATAAAAGCAATACATAGAGATTGGAGGGGGGGTGATTTTAATAAAAAGATCGGAGAGGAGGAGATGAAGTGTATTTATAATCTAAAAACATTGATTCCACATGGACTTAATCAAGATTTTGAGTTATGTCATTTTTTATGAATCGACTGACAGTTTTAATATATTACGATTTTATAATATAAAAAAAGAGATAATAGGGACATAACTTTTACACATAATGAAACCAAAAGTATGTTTTATATAGAATATAAGTAAGATATCCCATTAAGACATTCATTTTATCACCTGCATATTCACTATGACAATAACTGCATGGTCACTTTAAGAGATATTTATTGTCTTTCTAAAATTCACTTTTTTTCTAAAACTCACTGTTTTTTAAAAATACACTGTTTTTTTTTAATATGCACTTTGTTCATGAAATAAGCATGGTCACTTTAAGAATTGGGCACTTCTCTACATGGCTGTATTCTAACAATATGTTCAAAAGATGAATTTATTATGTTTTTATGTTTTTATATAATTGACTATGCCCTTACTTATGAGATCCTATGGTGTAGAGGGAAAAGAGGAAGAGTTTGAAACGCATATTTGCGTTCCATTGAAGTGCCCAATCATATGAACAGAAGGAGGGAAATTGAAATGTAATTTTGCGTCCCATAGAGGTCCTTATAGAAACCGGAGGTATCAGAAGGAGTGGAACGCTTAGTGCGTTCCACTCAGAGGAAGAATTCGGAAGTGACGTCTAACCCGGAAGTGACGTCACAGTATCGGCGCGACCGGAAGGGAGGAAATGGATGCAAATGAAGATATGGAACGCATACATGCGTTCCACAGCAGTTTTTTGCCGCGAAACATTATCAAATAAGGACTTATATAAAGACAATAACTGGACTTATTACTGGAAGCTGACTGAGGAAGCCACAATTGGCGAAACGCGTATTGGCTTGCTATTTACTACATATATTTTATCCTTCATTATTTTATGTATATATTTTTTATAATAAAGTAGTTTTTTTATCACTCCATCTTTTGGATCCTCTTCTATACATTGGAAACCATACCAGCGACAGAAGGGTTAAGGATCACCCTATAATAGATCCAGAAGCTATCCACACCAGAGCCAGGTCCTATGGCTCTAATTTTGTGAGTGTTTCCTTGCACCTACTGCACTTTAATATATATTGTAATTGATTTACACTATTGTTGTATATCTCTCTATCTCCACAGCAATATATTGGAGAAGAGGAAAGAATTAATATTGCTCCATCCATTGTGTTTGTATTGTATTTATTTGTGTTGGTATAGGGGATACCACACGGGTGTTTGAGCTATTATAGTCACCTACTGTGCCATTTCTTGCATTTGTGAGATACAAAACATTGTCTAGCCTACATCCATAGATAGACTGTGTAATGGACCGCCTGGCACGCCAACTGAGCACCTCCGCCAAGGACCACTTCCCAGCTGGAACAGGGGACAAACCGCAGCACTTCTTGCCCTCAGTCACCATGGCTTGACTGGGGTCCTGGAACCGCCACCTCCTTCCTGAAGCCGAATGGCCTGGGAACTCTGGAACCGAATGGGAAATTAGCTCTAGTGCTTTCAAGGACTTTCCCTGTTGAATCTCCTGCAAGCTGGAACAGCAGACACAGGAGTAAATCTTCTTTCCCTCCAATAACAGGACAACACACAGTTTTTATAAAGTACCCCAAAATACAACATAGCCCCATAAAAGTCACATCCCCGGATCTGGGTGAACAACATATCCTAAAATCACCCAGATCAGATCAGAGCAGGGGTTCAGGAAATCCCTGGAAGTCTCTTTTTGACCGACCGCACGCATGGTTTCATGCCTAAAACAGTTCCAGAGAATCAGGGCTTGCAGCCGGTCTAGTTCGGTAGTTTGCAAACGAACAAACTACCGAGCAGAGGCAATAGTCTTACCCTGGAGCTAGACGAATGATCTCACCGAACAGTGCCCTTCTAAGCTGAATAGAAACGAACGCAGGTGATGATGGAAGTCCAGCGGTGTTCGGGAGTTTCTGTATCCGATTTTAGTTCCATGAGACTTATGCCCAAACACCGCTGCCTGCGTTCATGCGAACAAGATGGCTGCCACCTCGTGGTTGTTCATAGGAATCGCGGCCACCCAGATGAACAATTAGAACACAGCGATGAGAAACATTCCAAGTTAATAGGTGTAAACAAACTCGAGGGTGGTCTCTGTTTGTGCGGTTGTTCGGTAAACTAACCATATAGTCCCAATTGCAGAGCCTGTTTGAGGTATATTAGCCAGTGTAACGGATCACCTGGCACCCCAACTGGGTATCTCCCTTGAAGGATGCTCCTAGCGCTTCCTGAGGATTCCAAGCACTCTAGCCAACACCACAACCACCGCAGGCCGAACCTCTCTTCCTTCAGAGTGAAGCAGGAACGAGTTCTTAAAAGAAATTAGGAGTGATTTATAGCAAGGGAATATGCAGAGCCTAGCAATCCCTTGTAGCAGATTCCCCCAATAAGAGACAGGACTCCAAATTGAGGGTGAAGTAGAACTGTCTAAAACGTTATTTTACTTGGGACTAGTCCATATGGTCATTACATTAACATTGCTGTGAAAACTCAATAAAATTACAAACAGTCAAATCATAGCAGACAACATACAGTGAATTATAACTTAATTACATATTTATAAATGGGTGGGGAAGACCATAATTAACACACAATGTCTCTCCTGCATGCAGAATTTGCGATATGCAAATCTACCCGAATATGCAAATTACCAGTCTTGCTATTCAGGTAGTGCATATTACTGTTGCTACCAACAGAGGGCACTATACAAGCTCCATAGCCAAATCCACCTAGTTGGTAGCAATCCTCAGCAGTACAGGAGAGCAGGCAATACATCCCAGGGGCCATAGTCACATGGCAGGAGGCTGGCAATCAGTCTTCTCCAATGCCCAGTGGCAAGGCTGGTTCCGCCACATTTCTCCCCTTTTCCAAACAGACTAACAGGGTATCTGACCTCCTGCCGGTCAGTGCCCTGGTTAGTCCAGCAACCCACCCACGAAGCACAAACAGTAATACAGCCCACCCACAATACATGGTTACTACACCTGGGTAAAAGATTAGCTCGTCCAGGTGCCTCACCACGGCTGTGTGGGGTACTGATAGGTTGCCTTGGTGGGTTGCTCTGGTGCCAGCGCTACCACGGGAGTAGCCTGGTTGGAGCCATGCTGAAAAGAAGAGTTGGTAGGCTCCTCTCTTGAGATCTGGGGCTGCTGCTGGAGGGGGAGACTGACTTTCTCCCCTTTGGCTAAACAGCCCTGCTGCTGGGGGACAGGACCGACTGTCCCTACTCCTGGTGGTGCATGTGCAGAGACCACGGTCCCATCTGCACTGATGTGGAGCCTACTGTCTCCCCTTGGTGGGCGAAGCTGCCGCTGGGGAGAGGGGGGTAACAAGCTCCTCTCCCATACATACTTTCAACCGCTGGGGAGAGGGAGTAACAAGCTCCTCTCCCATACATACTTTCAACCGCTGGGGAGAGGGAGAAACAAGCTCCTCTCCCATACATACTTTCAGCCGCTGGGGAGAGGGAGTAACAAGCTCCTCTCCCATACATACTTTCAACCGCTGGGGAGAGGGAGTAACAAGCTCCTCTCCCATACATACTTTCAACCGTTGGGGAGAGGGAGTAACAAGCTCCTCTCCCATACATACTTTCAGCCGCTGGGGAGAGGGGATAACAAGCTCCTCTCCCTGACACTCTCTCTGCTGTTGGAGAGGGGGACCGACTGTCTCCCCCTTCAATATATTGTCCCGCTGCTGGGGAGCGAGACAGACTGTCTCTGCTCCCTGCCGGACACACTGCTGCTGGGGAGGAAGGACGGTACCTTCAGCTCCCTGGGACTCACTGGACTGCTGGGGAGAGGGACCAACTGTCTCCTCTCCTAAGGACACACACTGCCGCTGGGGAGGAAGGACGGCATCTTCAGCTCCCTGGGAAACATACTGCCGCTGGAGGGGGGGGAGGGGAGGACAGCACCTTCGTCTTCCTGTAACTCACTGGACTGCTGGGGAAAGGGACCAGCTGTCTCCTCTCCTAAGGACACACACTGCCGCTGGGGAGGAAGGACGGCACCTTCAGCTCCCTGGGATACATACTGCC